TGCAATAAAGTGCATCTGAAAGAGCAAAAAATAATGAATGCTTCTGTGGAATTACTTTTTTCCTCCGATTTTTAAAAATATTTTTATTCTTATTTTAATGATTCGTTTTTGAGTTTTCCGGTCTTTAAAGAATATTTTCAAATATTTTTAAAAATCGGAGGAAAAAAGTAATTCCACAGAAGCATTTATTATTTTTTGCTCTTTCAGATGCACTTTATTGCATTCAAATAGACCAAATAGTAAAGATGTGAGGATTAAAGTCAAAATTCCATAGGATTAACATTACGTCCACGAAATCAAAATGGCGGGTAGACGGGAACCTTAAATCAGGATTTTTAATTAAAAATGTATTCTGTTGCCACAGATTTGAACTGTAATTTTTGATTTCTATTGCAAACAGTATATATTTTGTTTATTTCTTATGAATTTAAGGCATTGAAAATCATTATGAAGTAATAAAGAGTCAAAGTGTGCAGTAATAACAAAATTGATTAGAACTATTAATGAGAAATAGTACTCGAGTAATTGCTTTTTAAAAATATTTGCATACAAAATATTTTATTTCTATTTAAAATTTTCTGCTTTGTAATGAAAGTCGCTTGCACCAAATGATTTTTTTTTTCCTTCAGTTTTACTGTTTTCCAATCATTAATTTTTTAAGGAACACAATTTTTTAGTCTCCTTTGATTGACTATTGTACTTTTAAAATTACTATTTATGACTTGCATTGCAAATTTCTATTGTGCATCAAAACCAAATCTTTTATTCCTAATACAAAAATTTTTATTAGAATAATTTAATTCTTCGAAAAAAAGATGAAAACAGCCTTCTATCAGACGACTTTTTCGGGCATTTTCTTTTTCGCCCCTCTTCTGCGAAGCAAAAGAAAAAAAAGTATTATGATTTCGGAAACATTTGTATAATAATTCAAAGAGTTATCAGTGACTTTTCATTAATTTTTCTGCATAATGAGCAACTATTAATAATGTGCGAATGTGTTTATCTCTTTCAAACTTTCTTTAAAACTCAAATTATCTCTTACTGTTTTCACCTTCTTGTATTGATTAATTTTCTAGTATTGTAGGAAGTTTTTATTTTTTTTATTTTATTATTCAGATTTACATTTAGGTTTGATAATTATGTTGTTAGTAAATGTGTGAAAAGGTCCGAAATGAGATATATATATATGCGAAAGAAACATACGAGACAAAATTTTAAATCGTCTTATATGGTCATAAATTGAATTTATTTCATTAATTGGGTTAAAAGAGATGAATTTTACGGAAGGCCCATCCATCTGTTTAAATTAGTAAGCAAAAAGTGTTATATTATCAAGAAGTTAATCGAAAAATTACAAAAAGCAAAATGGTATGATATAATACGTAGAATATGAGCAAATAATACATCATAAGAAATAAAATCAGATAATTAAAATCTAACACTTTTGGAAAACTCCTTGCAACAACAAAAAAAATATTTAAGCACATTGATAACAAATGTAGATTTTATAGCAAACATGTACTTGAACGAAGCAAGAATTTTCTTTTTGTCTGATGCACATTTATGTTTTATTCATTTTTCGTATGAATAGTGAATGAATAAAATTATTTAGGTGTTACCAAATGATACTTAAAATAATCTTGTCAGAAGTGGGATTCGAACCCACGCCCACCGAAGTGGACTGCGACCTGAACGCAGCGCCTTGGACCGCTCGGCCATCCTGACTTGTTCATAATGTACTTAAACAACTATAAATCACTATTTCATTTTTATGAAATAAGTTCTATGCTTTGTTAAATTTTGGAGAACTAAGTGTTCAAAACATCTTGATATTTGGCCAAGGAATGCGTTCTTTTGAGACTGAGGAACGAAAATCTTATCCAGAGCATCATCATTCTAATTCCATAGTAATTCAATTATGTCCACAAGATGGCACCACGGTTCGAAAAAATTTGAATTTCTACAAGAGATCTTGGCAAAACGGAACAAAATTTCCTTCTTTTATGTGATTTAAATTAACACAATTTCTTTGAAAATGTGTTAAGTTTATGTTCGAGAAATTCGATGAAAAGTTAGTGGGCTGTTGGATCTTTTTCAAGAGTTATTGATTTATAAAAAAAAATACATTCGCTAACACTGAATTAATTATTATTTTTTTGTTAATTTAAAAAAATGCGATAAAAATACCTAAATATTTAAGTTTTGATGAATATTTCTGTTTTTAGATTGTTGAATAAGAATGTTCTGAATCTTCATTTTTTTTTTTTTTTTTGCAATTGTTAAAGACATATGAAAGAGTATATTTATAACAGATTTAGGAGGTCTTACCGATCACTTTGCTTTCCAATGTCGTAGGAAGATAAGAAAACACACAGATAAAGAAATAAAAGTTTTCAGTATATTCCGAAAACATTTTTTAATCAATTTCTGCTAATTTTCTTCTCTTATATAATAGTGCTGGATTTATTTTTTAGAGTTTATAATCAACTTCTAGGCTACTTTTTTTCTACAAAATTTATAAATTGTATAGCCTGTTGTAGATTTATTCATTTTACAAAATACCAGTTTCTCATTTCTGCTGTAGTTTCGATAAAATTTCATTTCCTTTTTTGAAATTATTTTTCCCTTACTTCTATTTTATTCAATACAGAACTATTCTAATTTGAATGTAATAATAAATTTAAAAAATTCTATTTAACCTAATTCTGAAGACTTTTTCTTTGATTCGCTTATCACGTTATACTTTTCGAATAACTCTGTAGTTTGTCGACTAATAAAAAAAAATTTATAAAAAAGTGACAATTACTTATATATTGATATTCTAAAGCTGTCCCCTAAATATTCCACTGATTTCTTATATAAAGAAATCCGTAATAAAAACGAATACAAAGAAAGATAAATTCACGAAGAAAACGAATGGAAAATCAAGCATTTTTCTCTCATTAGACACAAAGAAAAATGTTAAACGTTTTGAAAAAAATGTGTTTTTAAGGCTTTGAAAGTTTTTCATTTTAAATCTCAGAAGTGATTTTTTGCAATGCATGAATTTTCTTAAGTACAAACATTTCCGAAAAACAATATAAAATAATTAAAACTAAAACTTTAAAAAGTTTTATGCAAAGTTTTGCAAAAAATAGATTCAGCCACCCAAGGTGAGCTTTTTTTAAAATAAAATTATTATTAAATTACTCAATGAAATATAAGAATTAAAGCAAACGATGAAAATGGACAATAGTAAACCTTTCCGATATTAAAAATAAATCAAACGATAAATTATTAAATTGAATATTGTTTCTGCTACATGTAATTAAAATTAAAGCAAACGATAAATTGTTAAATTGAATATATTAAAGCTAAATGTAATTAAAATTGAAGCAAACGATAAAAAATTAAAAAGTGATCTGGTACGCCAAAAGTGATGCAACCAAAACAATAACCTCTTTGGGAGCTAATTAAAAATGTTCCCAGGAACACATTGAAAATAGCGTACCAAGAAGGAAGCGAATTATAATCGCGAAACTTTGCGAAATTGAATGATGATCGAATGAAAATGATCGGTTCGGTGCCAACGCGTTTGACCACACACCACACACTTTGCAGTTGCACTGCAATCAGGAAATGGGTCCTATATAACCGGTGTAAATTGGAAGATTGATAAACGTAACGATCACTTTCCGACTCTAGGAAGACTTTAATTCGCGAAGAATGCCAGGTAAAAGTGTGAGAAGACATTTCGCACTGTTAAGAGATTTTGAGATGGACCTCATCATTAGCAAGTAAACCACAGGCTGGTCAATGCGCCATATTGCTCTCCAAGTCAATCATTCGGAGTGTGTCGTCAAAACATGTAGGGAGCTGAGGACACAAGATGGTTCCCAAGTGCGGAGAACCAGGTTTGCAGCGAACTTGGTTTCATTAACGTCGCTCTAGAAGCAACATGTGGACTATTGACAATGGATCTCGTAATTTTGAACCTCGGTCAAGAAACGAGGACGACACCTGGACTGGCACCTCCTTTCCTAACTTCCACACCTCGCCGACGGGAAGACTTAGGGCTTCAACAGATTTAATGTGCATCAGCCCCGGCTACAAGGCAGTTCTCTTGTAGCATCAAGGTTCAAGGTTACGATTTGACGAAAACAGCCGATCGCGAGTCCGTGACCACGACCACTAGGATACCGCGACTACAGGCGTGACCAGGAAGATGATGAGGCCAGAGGATCGAAGGATTGTGAGGCAAGTGGATTCCACAATGATTCATGTATCACAGCGTGTTGCGGCATGTATTTCAGAAGGAGGCGGTCCAAAGCGCGTATTTGTCTTATTGTACACAGTTTTTGTTTGATGATTTTGATTTTGGGATCTACTGAATCTCTCATCTGTATCATAGAGTGTATTAAATTTCATTTCAATACGTAGCTCCCTTCTTGGTTCGTTATTTTCAATGTTCTGGAATGTATATTGAATAAATGAAAATAACTAATACACTGATTTAAGAATTTAAATAATTTTTCTATTAAAGTTATAATTAAAGATATCTAAATAACCTCCAAAATATGAAATAGAAAAAACATACCTTAAATAAAAACGTAATTATATGAATAAATACTTTTTTAGGAAAATAATTATTTCACAGCAAATGGTTTTAATGATAAAAATAAGAAAGTTTAGTAAGTTTTTTAAAAAAAGAAATCTGCATAAATTAGCGTCATACTTTTTTTCCGCTCAAATGTTTTAAAAGACGTTATTTCTTTAGGACGAGATGTTTTTGTTCCATTTGTAATTTGCTTATGTATATTGTGAAGCATCTGTGGTGTTTTTTCCTTTAAATATTTTTTCTAAAGCGTTAAATTAAATCCATTTATTAACGTTGCTGAAATCATTAATTTTTTTTATTAGTGTATGAATATTCCAGGTGGCATGTAAAAATTTTTATTTTACGATATTCCAAATCATATTTTGCAATCAAGCTGTAATTCCGTGACGTTTCATTAAAAGAAAGCATTTTGTACCTCCTTGATAAAATTAGGAATAAATAAATAATAATAATAAAGGCATTTTTTTTTTCTAGTCAAATGTTATTCCCTCTCCTCGTTAATTTTGGCAGGGGTTTCTTTAATGTTTTTTTTTATTAGATGTATCCTTTTGCCAGTAAAATGGAAGTCACGAAATACTTTTCATAGGAGCCCCTCTTTAAAACCTCCCTTTATGCCAAAGGTGTGAGCAAAATTTTCTTTTTGAGGAGGAGGGTGATTATCCAAGTATTTATCCGTAGGACTGTAATAAGAAAAAATGCTTTTAAGAAACAATTTCAAAAATGAAAGAGAGAGAAAGAGAATAAAGGATCTTGTCTTTTGGACAACCCTATGTACCCTATTATCTTACGTATATGTATTGGCAGTTGGACTCCCAAGTCCTCGCATTGAGATGGTGTGGAAGTTAGGCGAGTGGGGTGCAAGCTCAGGTATCATCATCATTGGCACTTGACTGAGTTCAAAACTATGAGGTCCGTCGCTACAATATGTTTGGAAAAAGCTGTCAACTTTTACTTCTCTATCCAAATTTGGACAGGAAGTGTCAAATTTATAATTTTGTTGAAAATTTTAAATTTTGGGTGTTTATGTGTGTTTATCCTCTAAAATAGGGGTAGACATGCACAATTATTATTTATTTATTTATCGTTTACAAATTTTTTTGTATCTTCTCTCTTCTAATCCCGAATCACTATCATTAGGAATAAGCGAGCTAAAGTGCAGTGAATTGAATTAGAGATAAGGATATGTAAGTGTAATAGAATTGAAAGGAAAGACAAGAGTGATAGAGGATAGCGACAAGTTGATAGATGTGTAGATTGAAATGAAGCATTGTAATTAATCGTAAATGTTGGAAGTGAATCTGCTATAATCAAGAAGTGCTTGAATCGGAATGAATGATTTGGTAGACTAAGACATTGTTATTGGAATACAAACTAGGGTTAACTGAGTTGAGAGGGATTCTAGAGAGAGTGATCTTAGGTATTCTAAATAAACGGTGTTGTGTGTCTTTCCCCTGAATATCATCACCTGGAGTCTTGAATTTTTAACATAAGAAGTTAATAATGAAGGAGGTGCGTCACTATGTACCCCTAAATGTAAGTACGGAACATACAAATGTAAATACAGCAAATGATTATTAATTACTCATACATAATTATTTAAATATATAAATCTGATTTCCTTTGCATAAACAGTCACAAAACTGAATGTTAAAATGATATTTTCATTACTTTTAATTTAAAAAGGTCAGGACCAGTGGCGGATCAAGGGTTTGGGAACGGGGGCACGGGCCTCCCCACCTGTTATAATTTCACACGCAGGAAAAATAACATACCTGAGTAGGAAATCTGAACCAAATTGTTAATATTTTTTGTTATAAATAAATAATGTTAACATTTAATATTTATTAATATTAAAACATGTTAACATTTTTTCGACGCCAAAATATTACACTGTTTAAGAATAGGATATTAAAATTCGCATTTTAAAGGTATTTTGGATTATCAGCGTCGAGATGACATAAGTACAAGTTTCACAAAAACACGTGATTTTGGGCCCCCATACCCCATCACCACTTCTGTTGATTTTTTTCGGGATCCGTTACCGGCGAGGACTCTTTAAACTTGACACAAAATTAGCTGAATTTTCTTTGTCGAAGGGGTTTCAACTGTCTTAAAGAGGACTTTTATG